AAAGCTTATTCTGGAGACATTCATGTATTAACACGTCAACCAGGCCACAAGTATGAGGGAAGGGGCTGCACCATCAGTACTGGTTTTAATTTTAACCAGGAAAGAAGAAGAGATGTTTGACATTCAATGCTTTCCTCCCATGGGAAACATTGACCATGTCTTGTTGGAAATTAAATATGCAATGCGACATAATCTAGAAAAGAATTGGGAAATTGAAATAGTAGATAAATTTGATTCAAGTGAGGACACTATGGGGAACTTAGCAAATTCTTTAATGAATTAAATTCGAAAGGCTTGTTGCTAGCAAGGAAGTAAATGCTAAATTCTGGGAAATATACGATGAAGGCACGAAAACTTTATAGCAAAATGGAAATGCAAGACTGGAAAACAGGATTGGCTCTACAAAAATTGTGAGAGGGCCAGAGAGGAAAAGACAAGAAAATGGATGTAACATAGGAAGACTCCAAACCTTCAAACATACCAGCACTACAAACAAGCAAGAAACCAATGCACAGCAGTGAGGAGAGAGGTAAAAATGAACTTTGAGAAAGGGGGTAGCGGACAAATGGAAAACAGATCCAGGTTTTTACTATAAATTCATTAAAAGCAAGCTGCATGTAAAGGATAAAATCCAGAGAGTGAGAAAGGGGAACAGGTTCACTGAGAGTGAAAAAGAAATGTGTGAAAGACTAAATGAACGGTTCCAAAGTGTGTGTGTGTGTGTGTGTGCAAAAGGAGGTTTTCAAAGAACTAGACACAATACCAATTCCAGAAAACACAGCACGAAGTGGGAAGTTACTCATGGGGCTAGGAAGGAATAAAGCAGTTGGGCTAGATGAAGTTTCACCATGGGTGCTGAGAGAATGTGGAACTGAGCTGAGCATTCCACTTTAATTGATATTTCAGACATTCTTGTGCACTGGAATCTTAGCAGATATATGGAAAAATGCCAACATAATTCTAATAAACAAAAATGGTAGCAGAGAAGACCCTCTAAATTATAGATCCATATCAGTAGTCCCCGTGGTGTAGTGGTAAGACACCCGCCTGGCGTTTCGCAAGCACTCTGTCCTGGGTTCGTATCCAATCCGGGGGAGGATTACCTGGGCATCAATCCTTAACTGTATCCTCTGTTTACCCAACAGTAAAATGGGTACCTGGTTGTTAAACGATTTGGCGGGTCGTATTCCGGGAAACATAGAATTAAGGACTGGCCCGAAACGCTATGCATGCTATACAAGTATACAAGAATGTACGAACTCTTGTATATATATAAAAAAATAAATATTAACAAACGAAGTAGTTAAAACACTTTAAAAAATAGTTAAAGCCAAATTCGTTGAACACCTAGAGAGTAATGACATAATAATGGATAGGCTGTATGGTTTTTGACCAGGAAAATCCTGTGTAACAAATCTACTTAGTTTCTATGAGAGCGACAGAGATTCTACAGGAAAGAGATGGTTGGATTCAACGTGTCAATCTATACCTAAAAAAGTCTTTTGACAGAGTTCCACACAAGAGGTGTTTTGGAAACTAAAACATGCTGGAGGGGTGACAGAGAAACTGCTGATGTGGATGAAATATTTACTGACAGAAAAATGAGTATGGTAATTAGAGGCAATCTATCTGACTGGAAGAGTGTAACTAGCGGAGTGCCACAGGGTTCATGTCTTGTACCAGTAATGTCCATCGTCTACATAAATGATCTACCAAATGGAATACAGAATTATATGAACAGCTTCCTGGATTGTATCTGGATGGTGATTCTGGGAATTCTTTTACTCTCCCAAGCTTGGCCTGGGACCAGGCTTGACTTGTGGGAGCTTGGTCCAACAGGCTGTTGCTTAGAGCAGCCCGCAGGCCCACATATCCACCACAGCCCGGTTGGTCCAGTACTTCTTGAAGATAACTATCTAGTTTTTTCTTGAAGACGTCCACTTTTGTTCTGGCAATATTTCGTATGCTCGCTGGGAGGCTGTGAAACAACCGTGGACCTCTAATGTTTATAGTGTTCACCCAGAGTCTGCCAGTGCAGACTGCTTATCACATGCCTCTGTATGACTAACTATCCTGTGTGATGGGGATTTTTTAGCATCACGTAGCTAGCTTTTTGACACACTGTACTCCCCTTCATATAGTCTAGGGTAGCTGCACAAATGCAGATGTACCTAATATATTAATAACAAAAAATACATTGTACCTATGGCACCCCTGCTCTTCAATGGTTCTGTTTTGCTTTTCTTTCCATATCGTTAACTCCAGTATGTTGTTATTTTACTGTGTAGATTTGGGACCTGGCTCTCCAGTATTTTCCACGTGTATATTATTTGATATCTCTCTCGTCTCCTTTCTAGTGAATACATTTGGAGAGCTTTAAGACGATCCCAATAATTTAGGTGCTTTATCGCGTCTATGTATGCCGTTTATGTTCTCTGTACTCCCTTTATTTCTGCAATCTCTCCTGCCCTGAAGGGGACAAAATTATATGAACAGTACTCATATACTGTTGAACAGTATATGTGTACTGTTCATGAACAGTACTGCGAATGTCGAGCAGTACTCAAGACGGGGAGATAAAAGTGATTTGCATAGTACAGTCATTGTTCAGGGATCGCTGGGATTGAAGGTTCTCGTAATCCATCCTATTTTCTGGTTCATGCAATAATTGCTTGTTATCCTCCCTAAACGTTAGGTCGTCAGATTTCATTATTCCCAGATCCTTTAAATGCTGCTTTCCTTCTATTGGCAGATTTAATTGCGTTTTGTACTCTGTATTTTTGTTTAAGGTCCTAATTTTTATTGTATCTGAGTACCTGGAATTGATCACTGTTAAACATTGTTATTTTCTGCTGCCCAGTCGAAAACTCTATTAATATCTGCTTGTAGTTTATCAATGTCTTCAACATAAGTAATTTTCATGCTAACTTTTGTCATCTGCAAAAGATGATATGAAGCTGTGATTTCTATTTTTGTCTATATCTGATATGAGAATAAGGAAAAGCTGTGGTGCAATGATTGTACCCTGAGACACAGCTTTTAACTGCGCTTGGACTCGATTTTATTTGGTTGACTGTTACTCTTTGTGTTCTGTTCGATAGAAAGTTGTATATCCACCCTCCTACTTTACCTGTTATTCCCACTGACCTCATTTTGTGTGTTATCACTCCATGCTCATATTTCTAGAATGCCTTTTCGAAATCCATGTATACCACACCTACATTATTTTTCTTCTAATTCCTCAGTGATTTTGTGGTAATGGTCAAGTAGCTGTGAGAGGCATGATCTTCCCTCTCAAAATCCATGTTGGCCTGGGTTGTGGAGGTCATTGGTCTCCATGAAACTGGTGACCTGACTCCTGATCACTCAAATACTTTTATGTGGGACGTTAGTGCTACTGGTTTATAATTCTTTGTCAATGCTTTGCTCCCTCCCTTGTGTAGTGGAGCTATATCTGCTGATTTAAGCGCATCTGGTATCTCCCCCGTGTCTAAGCTCTTCCACAACATTATACAAAGTGCCCGTGCTACTGGCACTTTGCATTTCTTTATAAATATTGAATTCCTTGAGTCTGGACCCGGTGCTGAATGCATGAGTATGTTGTCAATTAATCTTTCAAAATCTGCAGCGTTTGTGTTGATATCAGTTATATTTTCAGGGGTTTGGATATCACACATAAAGAAGCTGTCTGGATTTTCCACTTTCCATGTTATTTATTGGGGTGCTAAACATGTCCTCATACTTCTATTTTTAGGACTTCACTAATTTATTTGTCATCCTCTGTGTATGAACCTTCACTTCTAAGAATAGATCCACTACTGGCCGTGGTTTTTGCTTTTTATTTTGCGTATGTGAAGAAATATTTTGGGATTTTCTTAATCTCTTGTATGACTTTCTATTCTAATTGCATTTCTTCAATCCAATATGATTGCTTCAGCCTCTGCTCGTTTTCTTCAATCTCTCTGTTTAAATTATTCCTTCTTTGTAGGGATAGTCAAGTCTGCTTATGCATTTTCGTTACCTTTTCCTTATGCCATTGTTTTGTATCTATTTTCGTTATTCTGTAATCTGCGTTCTCTTTCTACATTAGTTCTCTTTTTGGCTTTCAGGAAAGGAACATGCTTCAGACAGACTTTATATGCTTCAGAAGTTAGTTGTTCTAATCCTAGTATGGAATTTTTATTACTTACAACAGTTTCCTATTGAATGTTTGTAAGTTCCCTCTTTATTTTTTCCCCGTCTATCCTTTTATTATTAAAATCGACTTTATTGAATAACCCTTCTTTCTTGATGATTGTTTTAGGCCTTTTACAAGTATTGATGTTAGTCTGCACTTGAATGAGTGATCTGAGCGATCAACATTTCAGATCTAAGTATGTGGTATGTGAGATCGTAATGTCCCTGATTATGTCTTCATTGTTCTTAAAGACCAGAGCTACAATATTTTCGTTCCTAGTTGGTTCTGTTGTCTGCTGGTTGAGTGAAAATTTGCCACAGAATAGAAGTAGTTCTCTAATCTGTGGTTGGTTATTTCCAGATAGATTTCCTGGTATAATACTATTGTTTGCTATTCTCCATCTTAGACTGGGCAGATTAAAGTCGCACTAGGGGACACAGGTGGAAACTGAGTGCCCAAATGAGCCACAGAGATATTAGAAAGAACTTTTTTAGTGTCAGAGTGGTTAACAAATGGAATGCATTAGGGGGTGATGTGGTGGAGGCTGACTCCATACACAGTTTCAAGTGTAGATATGATAGAGCCCAATAGGCTCAGGAACCTGTACACCTGTTGATTGACAGTTGAGAGGCGTGACCAAAGAGCTAGAGCTCAACCCCCGCAAGCACAACTAGGTGAGTACAACTAGGTGAGTACAACTAGGTGAGTACACACACACACAAACACACACACACACACACACAAACACACACACACACACACACACACACACACACACACACACACACACACACACACACACACACACACACACACCACTCACCTGTAGGAGGGTCTGAAGGGGAAGGCGTGGCAGGAGGCACAGGTGCAGGAGCAGACGGAGGTGAGGTCGGTGAAGGAGGCGCCCTCCTGCGGACATTGACCTGAGAGGATGGACCCGTTGGCAGTTATCACGTCGCCCTCAAGCCGCACCGCGCCCGCCGCCGCCTGCAACCAGGTCAAGGCCATCAGTCGTGGGAGGTCAAGGGTTGTATACGTGTCGTGGGTTGCCTTCGGGGGCTTGGTCAAGGTTCGTGTGGGTCGTGGGTTCGTTTTGGGTTACTGGTCAAGGTTCGTGGGTTCGTTTTGGGTTACTGGTCAAGGTTCGTGTGGGTCGTGGGTTCGTTTTGGGTTACTGGTCAAGGTTCGTGTGGGTCGTGGGTTCGTTTTGGGTTGCTGGTCAAGGTTCGTGTGGGTCGTGGGTTCGTTTTGGGCTACTGGTCAAGGTTCGTGTGGGTCGTGGGTTCGTTTTGGGTTACTGGTCAAGGTTCGTGTGGGTCGTGGGTTCGTTTTGGGTTACTGGTCAAGGTTCGTGTGGGTCCTGGGTTCGTTTTGGGTTACTGGTCAAGGTTCGTGTGGGTCATGGGTTCGTTTTGGGTTACTGGTCAAGGTTCGTGTGGGTCGTGAGTTCGTTTTGGGTTGCTGGTCAAGGTTCGTGGGGGTCAAGGGACTGTTATAGGCCTGTCTCAGGCAGAATCAAGGTCTTAGTGGTTCACATTCTTGATCATCATTAATAAGGTTTCGAGGTCAAAGGCAGCTACACATTATCTAAATGTTATATATGCAGGTCAATCACAGAGACCAGGTCATGAATCCTGATTCAGGAGGTCATGAATCCTGATTCAGGAGGTCATGAATCCTGATTCAGGAGGTCATGAATCCTGATTCAGGAGGTCATGAATCCTGATTCAGGAGGTCATGAATCCTGATTCAGGAGGTCATGAATCCTGATTCAGGAGGTCATGAATCCTGATTCAGGAGGTCATGAATCCTGATTCAGGAGGTCATGAATCCTGATTCAGGAGGTCATGAATCCTGATTCAGGAGGTCATGAATCCTAATTCAGGAGGTCATGGGTCAAACATCTTTGCCAACTGGTGCTGGTATTATCATGGATAATGTGTTCACACTGGCTATCATACAGTAAGGCTTGTTAATACAGTAAGGCTTGTTAATACAGTAAGGCTTGTTAATACAGTAAGGCTTGTTAATACAGTAAGGCTTGTTAATACAGTAAGGCTTGTTAATACAGTAAGGCTTGTTAATACAGTAAGGCTTGTTAATACAGTAAGGCTTGTTAATACAGTAAGGCTTGTTAATACAGTAAGGCTTGTTAATACAGTATTCTTCCCTCCCTCTCCCTCATATTCTCTCACTGTTCCTCATTCTCCTTTCCACATTCCACTCTACTGTACTTTGTCTTACACCAGCGTATAGAGTTACGTCTCCCCCAACCCCCCCCCCTCACTCTCCCTCACTCTCTCTCACACCTACCTGGAGAGCCTCGGCTAGTCTCTCCTCCCTCACTCTCCCTCACACCTACCTGGAGAGCCTTGGCTAGTCTCTCTTCCCTCACACTCCCCTCATACTCCCTCATACTCCCTCATTCTCCCTCACACCTACCTGGAGAGCCTCGGCTAGTCTCTCTTCCCTCACACTCCCCTCATACTCCCTCACACTCCCTCACTCTCCCACACACCTACCTGGAGAGCCTCGGCTAGTCTCTCCTCCCTCACACTCCCCTCATTCTCCCTCACTCCCCCTCACTCTCCCTCACACCCACCTGGAGAGCCTCAGCCTCGTCTCTCCGCTCGTCCTCAGTGTTCATGGTGACGAAGCGCAGGACGAAGAGGTTGAGGGAGGCGGCGACGATGGCCATGCCGAAGAGGATGAAGATGAGGGCGAAGGCCACGTACTCGGGCTTCTGGTCCAGGGCGTGATCCTTCTGCAGGGCCACCATGTCCCCGAACCCTGCGGGCACACCTGGGGGTGAGTTCGGGGCGGCGGGGTGGGGGAGGGGGGGGGGGTAGCGTGGGGTGGGGGTGTATGGCGAGGGCATGAATGGGACTACCGTTGGGACTACAGTGTCAACTGCAGTAGGGACTAGTGTCTGCTCCAGTAGGGACAAGTGTCTACTCCAGTAGGGACTAGTGTCTACTCCAGCAGGGACTACAGTGTCTACTCCAGCAGGGACTACAGTGTCTACTCCAGCAGGGACTACAGTGTCTACTCCAGCAGGGACTACAGTGTCTACTCCAGCAGGGACTACAGTGTCTACTCCAGCAGGGACTACAGTGTCTACTCCAGCAGGGACTACAGTGTCTACTGCAGTAGGGACTAGTGTCTACTCCAGCAGGGACTAGTGTCTACTCCAGTAGAGGCTACAGTGTCTACTCCAGTAGGGACTACAGTGTCTACTACAGCAGGGACTAGTGTCTACTCCAGCAGGGACTACAGTGTCTACTCCAGCAGGGACTAGTGTCTACTCCAGTAGAGGCTACAGTGTCTACTCCAGCAGGGACTACAGCGTCTACTACAGCAGGGACTGCAGTGTCTACTACAGCAGGGACTACAGTGTCTACTACAGCAGGGACTACAGTGTCTACTACAGTAGGGGCTACAGTGTCTACTACAGTAGGGGCTACAGTGTCTACTCCAGCAGGGACTACAGTGTCTACTCCAGCAGGGACTACAGTGTCTACTCCAGCAGGGACTACAGTGTCTACTACAGCAGGGACTAGTGTCTACTCCAGCAGGGACTACAGTGTCTACTCCAGCAGGGACTAGTGTCTACTCCAGTAGAGGCTACAGTGTCTACTCCAGCAGGGACTACAGTGTCTACTACAGCAGGGACTACAGTGTCTACTCCAGCAGGGACTACAGCGTCTACTACAGCAGGGACTACAGTGTCTACTACAGCAGGGACTACAGTGTCTACTACAGCAGGGACTACAGTGTCTACTACAGTAGGGGCTACAGTGTCTACTACAGCAGGGACTACAGTGTCTACTACAGTAGGGGCTACAGTGTCTAATCCAGCAGGGACTACAGTGTCTACTACAGCAGGGACTACAGTGTCTACTCCAGCAGGGACTGCAGCGTCTACTACAGCAGGGACTACAGTGTCTACTACAGCAGGGACTACAGTGTCTACTACAGCAGGGACTACAGTGTCTACTACAGCAGGGACTACAGTGTCTACTACAGCAGGGACTACAGTGTCTACTACAGTAGGGGCTACAGTGTCTACTACAGTAGGGACTACAGTGTCTACTCCAGTAGGGACTACAGTGTCTACTACAGTAGGGACTACAGTGTCTACTACAGAAGGGATTACAGTGTCTACTCCAGTGTCTACTCCAGTAGGGACTACAGTGTCTACTACAGAAGGGATTACAGTGTCTACTCCAGTGTCTACTCCAGTAGGGACTACAGTGTCTACTACAGCATGGACTACAGTGTCTACTACAGCAGGGAATATGTGTCTAATCCAGCAGGGACTACAGTGTCTACTCCAGCAGGGACTAGTGTCTACTCCAGTAGAGGCTACAGTGTCTACTCCAGCAGGGACTACAGTGTCTACTACAGCAGGGACTACAGTGTCTACTCCAGCAGGGACTACAGCGTCTACTACAGCAGGGACTACAGTGTCTACTACAGCAGGGACTACAGTAGGGGCTACAGTGTCTACTACAGCAGGGACTACAGTGTCTACTACAGTAGGGGCTACAGTGTCTACTCCAGCAGGGACTACAGTGTCTACTACAGCAGGGACTACAGTGTCTACTCCAGCAGGGACTACAGCGTCTACTACAGCAGGGACTACAGTGTCTACTACAGCAGGGACTACAGTGTTTACTACAGCAGGGACTACAGTGTCTACTACAGCAGGGACTACAGGGTCTACTACAGCAGGGACTACAGTGTCTACTACAGTAGGGGCTACAGTGTCTACTACAGTAGGGACTACAGTGTCTACTCCAGTAGGGACTACAGTGTCTACTACAGTAGGGACTACAGTGTCTACTACAGAAGGGATTACAGTGTCTACTCCAGTGTCTACTCCAGTAGGGACTACAGTGTCTACTACAGAAGGGATTACAGTGTCTACTCCAGTGTCTACTACAGCAGGGACTACAGTGTCTACTACAGCAGGGACTACAGTGTCTACTCCAGTAGGGACTACAGTGTCTACTACAGCGTGGACTACAGTGTCTACTACAGTAGGGACTACAGTGTCTACTCCAGCAGGGACTACAGTGTCTACTCCAGCAGGGACTAGAGTATCTAGTCCAGCAGGGACTACAGTGTCTACTCCAGCAGGGACTACAGTGTCTACTACAGCAGGGACTACAGTGTCTACTCCAGCAGGGACTACAGTGTCTACTCCAGCAGGGACTACAGTGTCTACTCCAGCAGGGACTACAGTGTCTACTCCAGCAGGGACTACAGTGTCTACTCCAGCAGGGACTACAGTGTCTACTCCAGCAGGGACTACAGGGTCTACTCCAGCAGGGACTACAGTGTCTACTACAGCAGGGACTACAGTGTCTACTCCAGCAGGGACTACAGTGTCTACTCCAGCAGGGACTACAGTGTCTACTACAGCAGGGACTACAGTGTCTACTCCAGCAGGGACTACAGTGTCTACTCCAGCAGGGACTACAGTGTCTACTCCAGCAGGGACTACAGTGTCTACTCCAGCAGGGACTACAGTGTCTACTCCAGCAGGGACTACAGTGTCTACTACAGCAGGGACTACAGTGTCTACTACAGCAGGGACTACAGTGTCTACTACAGCAGGGACTACAGTGTCTACTACAGCAGGGACTACAGTGTCTACTACAGCAGGGACTACAGTGTCTACTACAGCAGGGACTACAGTGTCTACTACAGTAGGGGCTACAGTGTCTACTACAGTAGGGACTACAGTGTCTACTCCAGTAGGGACTACAGTGTGTACTACAGTAGGGACTACAGTGTCTACTACAGAAGGGATTACAGTGTCTACTCCAGTGTCTACTCCAGTAGGGACTACAGTGTCTACTACAGAAGGGATTACAGTGTCTACTCCAGTGTCTACTCCAGTAGGGACTACAGTGTCTACTACAGCATGGACTACAGTGTCTACTACAGTAGGGACTACAGTGTCTACTCCAGCAGGGACTACAGTGTCTACTCCAGCAGGGACTAGAGTATCTACTCCAGCAGGGACTACAGTGTCTACTCCAGCAGGGACTACAGTGTCTACTACAGCAGGGACTACAGTGTCTACTCCAGCAGGGACTACAGTGTCTACTCCAGCAGGGACTACAGTGTCTACTCCAGCAGGGACTACAGTGTCTACTCCAGCAGGGACTACAGTGTCTACTCCAGCAGGGACTACAGTGTCTACTCCAGCAGGGACTACAGTGTCTACTCCAGCAGGGACTACAGGGTCTACTCCAGCAGGGACTACAGTGTCTACTACAGCAGGGACTACAGTGTCTACTCCAGCAGGGACTACAGTGTCTACTCCAGCAGGGACTACAGTGTCTACTACAGCAGGGACTACAGTGTCTACTCCAGCAGGGACTACAGTGTCTACTCCAGCAGGGACTACAGTGTCTACTCCAGCAGGGACTACAGTGTCTACTCCAGCAGGGACTACAGTGTCTACTCCAGCAGGGACTACAGTGTCTACTCCAGCAGGGACTACAGTGTCTACTACAGCAGGGACTACAGTGTCTACTCCAGCAGGGACTACAGTGTCTACTCCAGCAGGGACTACAGTGTCTACTCCAGCAGGGACTACAGTGTCTACTCCAGCAGGGACTACAGTGTCTACTCCAGCAGGGACTACAGGGTCTACTCCAGCAGGGACTACAGTGTCTACTACAGCAGGGACTACAGTGTCTACTCCAGCAGGGACTACAGTGTCTACTCCAGCAGGGACTACAGTGTCTACTACAGCAGGGACTACAGTGTCTACTCCAGCAGGGACTACAGTGTCTACTCCAGCAGGGACTACAGTGTCTACTCCAGCAGGGACTACAGTGTCTACTCCAGCAGGGACTACAGTGTCTACTCCAGCAGGGACTACAGTGTCTACTCCAGCAGGGACTACAGGGTCTACTCCAGCAGGGACTACAGTGTCTACTTCAGCAGGGACTACAGTGTCTACTCCAGCAGGGACTACAGTGTCTACTCCAGCAGGGACTACAGTGTCTACTCCAGCAGGGACTACAGTGTCTACTCCAGCAGGGACTACAGTGTCTACTCCAGCAGGGGCTACAGTGTCTACTCCAGCAGGGGCTACAGTGTCTACCCCAGCAGGGACTACAGTGTCTACTACAGTAGGGACTACAGGGTCTACTCCAGCAGGGACTACAGTGTCTACTCCAGCAGGGACTACAGTCTCTACTACAGTAAGGACTACAGAGTCTTCTCCAGCAGGGACTACAGTGTCTACTCCAGCAGGGACTACAGTGTCTACTCCAACAGGGACTACAGTGTCTACTCCAGCAGGGACTACAGTGTCTACTCCAGCAGGGACTACAGTCTCTACTACAGGTGGGACTACAGAGTCTACTCCAGCAGGGACTACAGTGTCTACTACAGCAGGGACTACAGTGTCTACTCCAGCAGGGACTACAGCGTCTACTACAGCAGGGACTACAGTGTCTACTACAGTGTCTACTCCAGCAGGGACTACAGCGTCTACTACAGCAGGGACTACAGTGTCTACTACAGTGTCTACTCCAGCAGGGACTACAGTGTCTACTACAGTGTCTACTCCAGCAGGGACTACAGCGTCTACTACAGCAGGGACTACAGTGTCTACTCCAGCAGGGACTACAGTGTCTACTACAGTGTCTACTCCAGCAGGGACTACAGTGTCTACTACAGTGTCTACTACAGCAGGGACTACAGTGTCTACTACAGTGTCTGCTCCAGCAGGGACTACAGGGTCTACAACTACAACACCTACCACAGCAGGAGGAGCAGGGACAACGCACCTATGGTAGTGAGGGTGATGACGCAGTAGTAGACAGAGTCGAAGTAGGACCAGCGCTCGTAGCGGGAGAAGACCGCCGCTCCGGAGGTGATGGTGATGGTGGAGAGCGTCGTCACGACCAGGATGAGGTCGATCTCCGTGGCGTCCGTGTCTTGGCACTGAGGGGGTGAGGGGGGGAAGAAGGAGGTGGTCAGAGGTCTGGAGGCGGGCACGAAGGCGTCTTGATACGTCAACCTCTTTCAGCTGATGCCTTTCTAAGCTTAGGTTTATATCCTGTGGAATGGCTTTGGTGATGGTTTGTGGGGTGTTGGTCTTTGTTGACAAGAAGTTTGTTGACGTTTTCGTGTGGGAGGACAGGTGTGTTCAGGTGGATTGTGAGTGTGGGAGGACAGGTGTGTTCAGGTGGATTGTGAGAGTGGGAGGACAGGTGTGTTCAGGTGGATTGTGAGTGTGGGAGGACAGGTGTGTTCAGGTGGATTGTGAGTGTGGGAGGACAGGTGTGTTCAGGTGGATTGTGAGTGTGGGAGGACAGGTGTGTTCAGGTGGATTGTGAGTGTGGGAGGACAGGTGTGTTCAGGTGGATTGTGAGTGTGGGAGGACAGGTGTGTAGGAGTGAATGTACATATGGAAGTCAAGAGCATGCGATGCAATGTGTGTACTCACCTATTTGTACCTGCAGGACCGAGCTCAAGATTTTGGACCCCGATTTTCTAGCCCCTTGGTCGACTATTGCAATGACTCCTGGCCTATTTCCTTATCAAATCTCCTTTTAAAGATGTGAATGGAGTTTGTCTCTACAACCTGCTCCTTTAGTTCAGTCCATTTACTCACTACCTTTACGCTAAAAGAAAACTTTCTAACATCTCTATGACACATCTGAGTCTCGAACTTCCATACGTGCCCCCCTTGTTCTGTTGTTATTCATTGTAAAGATTTCCTCTGTATCTACCTTGTCAAACCCTTTTAAGTATTTTATGCGTCTGAATCATATCTCTCATCTCCATCCTCATTTCTAACGTCGTCAAGTTTAGTTCTTTCAGGTTGTCTTCGTACCTCATCCTTCGCAGCTCTGAGACGAGTCTCGTTGAAAAGTCTGCACCTTTTCGAGCTTCCATATATGATTTTTTTGTGATGGGGCTCCACGATGTGGCATGCTCTACGACTGGCCTCACATAGGCGGTATACAGTGATCTAAAAGCCTCCTTATTCAAGTTTCAGAAGGATATTCTGACCCTTGCTAGAGTAGAGTATGCAGCTAACATTATTCTATATATATGAACCTCTGGAGTTAGGTTTTGTGTCCATTCCCAGATCTTTTTCTCTAGACAAGGAGAAACAGTGAAACAGAGAAACAAGCACACACACACACACACACACACACACACACACACACACACACACACACACTGTGTGTGCGTGAATGAGGGTAATGAAACTTGGCGGTGGAAACTGGAGGCCCGACACAAGATACAGAATAGGAGATGAAGTACTTCATGAAACGGACAGAGAGAAAGATCTAGGAGTTGATATCACACCAAACCTGTCTCCTGAAGCCCACACAAAAAGAATTACGTCTGCGGCATATGCGAGGCTGGCTAACATCAGAACAGCCTTCAGGAACCTGTGCAAGGAATACTCAGAACCCGTACACCACATATGTAAAACCAATCCTGGAGTATGCGGCTCCAGTATGAAGCCCGTACCTTGTCAAGCAAAAGACGAAGCTGGAAAAACTTCAAAGGTATGCCACTAGGCTAGTCCCAGAACTAAGAGGCATGAGTTACGAGGAAAGGCTGCGGGAAAAGCACCTCACGACAGTGGAAGATAGAAGAGTAAGGGGAGACATGATCAAAAAATTCAAGACAAGACCTACAAAATTCTCAGAGGAATTGTCAGGGGTAGATAAGGATAATCTGTTTAACACAATGGGAACACGCACAAGGGGACACAGGTGGAAACTGAGTGCCCAAATGAGCCACAGAGATATTAGAAAGAACTTTTTTAGTGTCAGAGTGGTTGACAAATGGAATGCATTAGGGGGTGATGTGGTGGAGGCTGACTCCATACACAGTTTCAAATGTAGATATGATAGAGCCCAATAGGCTCAGGAATCTGTACACCTGTTGATTGACGGTTGAGAGGCGGGACCAAAGAGCCAGAGCTCAACCCCCGCAAACACAACTAGGTGAGCACAACTAGGTGAGTACACACACACACACACACACACACACACACAAGGGGTCTGGGAAAGGAGAGTTGACTACAGGAAAGGGGACTATAAGAGGATAAGGGACTATCTGAGAGAAGTGCAGTGGGAGGAAGAAATTAGAGGAAAAACAGTCCAAGATATGATGGACCTAGTGATACGGAAATGCCAGGAGGCCGAAGAGAGATTTATACCAACAATAAAGGAAAAAAAGTAAGAGGGAATATAATAACCCATGGCTTAATAGACAGTGTCAGGAAGCAAAACTGGCCAGCAGGCGGGAGTGGAGGAAGTACAGAAGACAAAGGACAGAGGACAACAGGATCAGATGCAACAGAGCTAGGAACGATTACATTAACATAAGAAGAGCATCGGAAAGAAATTATGAGAACGATATTGCGATCAAAGCGAAAAAGCAACCTAAATTACTACACAGCCATATAAGAAGAAAAATGTTGGTAAACGACCAACTGACAAGAATAAAGAAAACAGAGGGGACATACACAGAACATGACAAGGAAATCTGCGAGGCACTGAATGCCAGCTTCCATGGAGTGTTCACAATCGAGCCTGAGCAGCTCCCATTGTTAGAAGAGATTACCCTAGATGAAAGACTATCAGATATAGAGGTGACAGCAGAGGAGGTAATGAAACAATTGACAACACTGGATGCAACTAAAGCGGTTGGAACAGACAAAGTATCACCGTGGATACTAAAAGAGGCAGCGCAGGCCCTCAGCGTGCCTCTGACAAGGATCTTTAATGAATCACTTATATCGGGATTATTGCCCAGTTGCTGGAAGAGGGCAAATGTTGTACCGATTTTCAAGAAAGGCGATAGGAAGGAGGCACTCAACTACAGACCTGTATCACTGACAAGCATTCCCTGTAAGATACTTGAAAGAATAATTAGACTAAGACTGGTTGCACGCCTGGAGAACGTTAGGTTTGTAAACAAACATCAACATGGGTTCTGAAAGGGAAATCTCGCCTAACAAACTTTTTTAAATTCTATGATAAAATAACGAGAATAAGACAGGACAGAGAAGGATGGGCAGACTGCATATTTCTGGACTACCAAAAAGCTTTTGATACAGTACCACACATGAGACTGCTGTTCAAACTCGAGAGGCAGGCGGGGTTGGGACGAAAGGCCCTCGATCCAACAGGGGCCTCGTAGCCTGGTGGATAGCGCGCAGGACTCGTAATTCTGTGGCGCGGGTTCGATTCCCGCACGAGGCAGAAACAAATGGGCAAAGTTTCTTTCACCCTGAATGCCCCTGTTACCTAGCAGTAAATAGGTACCTGGGAGTTAGTCAGCTGTCACGGGCTGCTTCCTGGGGGTGGAGGCCTGGTCTAGGACCGGGCCGCGGGGACACTAAAAAAGCCCCGAAATCATCTCAAGATAACCTCAAGATAGCATGGATAAGGAACTACCTAACAGAAAGGAGCCAGAGAGTTACGGTAAGGGGCGAGAAGTCGGAAATGGCGAACAGTAACGAGTGGAGTACTTCAAGGATCGGTGCTGGGGACCAATTCTATTTCTAATATATGTTAACGACATGTTTACAGGCGTAGAGTCCTACATATCGATGTTCGCGGATGACGCAAAGTTGATGAGAAGAGTTGTGACAGATGAGGATTGTAGGATCCTCCAAGAGGACTTAAACAGGTTGCAGAGATGGTCAGAGGAATGGCTACTGAGTTCAACACAAGCAAATGTAAAGTTATGGAAATGGGATCAGGTGATAGGATACCAAAGGGACGGTACACCACGGAGGGGAACAGCCTACCTGTCACGACGCGAGAAAGAGACCTGGTCGTGGACGTAACACCTAATCTATCTCCTGAGGCACATATAAATAGGATAACGACAGCAGCGTACTCTACACTGGCAAAAGTTAGAACATTATTCAGAAACCTAAGTAAGGAGGCATTTAGGGCGCTTTACACTGCTTACGTGAGGCCAGTCTTAGAGTATGCCGCCCCATCATGGAGTCCCCATCTGAAGAAGCACATAAGGAAACTGGAAAAGGTTCAGAAGTTTGCAATGAGACTCGTCCCAGAATTATGAGGGATGGGATATGAAGAGCTCCTGAAGGAAGTGAGCCTTACGACACTAGAAAAGAGAAGGGAAAGGGGGATATGATAGGAACGTATAAAATACTCAGGGGAATTGACAGAGTGGACACAGACGAAATGTTCACGAGGGGACATGGGTGGACGCTGGAAACTCAGATGAGTCACAGAGATGTTAGGAAGCTTTCTTTTAGCGTGAGAGTAGTGGAAAAATGGAATGTACTTAAGGTGCAGGTTGTGGAAGCAAATTCTATTCATAATTTTAAAACTAGGTATGATAAGGAAATAGGACCGGAGACATTATTGTAAACAATCGATGGCTCGAAAGGCGGGATCCACGAGTTAATGCTCGATCCTGCAGACACAAATAGGTAAGTACAAATAGGTGAGTACACACACAATCTAATCAGAGATGAAAGCTAGCAAAGCAACTAGGTAAAAGAGCATGGAGAAACTATAGAAATAACATGACACTTGAGAGCAGAGAAGGTTACCAGAGAGCCAGGAATGAATACGTCAGGGTGAGAAGAGAGGCAGAAGGGCAATAGGAAAACGACATAGCAAGCAAGGCAAAGACTCAGCCAAAATTGCTGCACAGCCACAACAGTGAAGGATCAGGTAATGAGGGAATTACCTGCTTGCGGGGGCTGAGCTCTGGCTCTTTGGTCCCGCCTCTCAACCGTCAATCAACTGGTGTACAGATTCCTGCGTCATATTTGAAACTGTGTATGGAGTCAGCCTCCACCACATTACTTCCTAATGCATTTCATTTATTAACTACTCTGACACTTAAAAAGTTCTTTCTAATGTCTCTATGGCTCATTTGGGTACTCCACCTGTGTCCACTTGTGCGTGTACCACCGCATGTTAAAT